AAAGGATGGAACTTTGGAATGGTAATTGGTAGTTAGGGATGTCCTGTGCAAGGGTCACCCTTTGAGGTCCTGCCACACTGAATGATTCACAAATTATTCCCTAATTCAGAAGATCTTTATTCTTTGAGATTCAATCATTTATACCTTAGCGGAAAAGCCTGTAGCTAGCTTTCTTGTCTCTTTAATGCATTGCTTTGTTTCTGATTAATTTGTTTGAGGATTATTCACCAACATTAGGTGCAATACTTAATAGTATTAAGTTTATACCTTGCAATTTGGTCCCCTCACTAGGGACTGTCATTCGTCCTCAGAGTGTAAGGGTTCTCTCCTTGGAAGGATTTTCAGATCCTTCCAAGAATGAGAAGGGTTTTTTAAGGAGCCTAAGATGGAAAATAAGGTGCTAATTTTGACATTTGGTCTCTGGCTAGAACTTTAAACTTGAGTGTTGGCTTTGCTGCGGGCTTACTTTGCTGAATGTATTATTAACCCCATCCTTGGGGTTCAGGGACAAACCACCCCATGTGCTACAAAGCATAGCTCTCTCTATGAAGTTGACTGATCCCACTCTCTCATTGATCCTAACTACAGACTTGGGCCTTTCCTTTAGATTTTCACAAGCAATCCTCTACTTCTGTGTCCTCAGAAATGACCCCATTGAAGACTGGAGATCAACATTCCGGCAAGTAGCAGAGCAGATGCAGAAACTGCAAGAGAAACAGAAAGGTTTCCTGCTCAATCCTGCTGTTGGGGTAGGGCCTGTCTCTCCTTTTTCTAGACTCTCCTTCAAGCATCTGGGAATTGCTTGGTAATGCTGAGGGTCTTTGATCTTAAGGTCCGCTCGTCTTGCTTACATTCCCAAAGTATTACGTATCGACCCACATGCTCTAAATAAAATTCTATTTTCTCCTTTACTTTTTCACTTCAAAGTGTTTTCTTTTTAAATCTTTATTCCAATTCTTTTAGATCAGTAACCATTAAGCACTTTTGTGATCTGGGGCAGTCTTTGTTTAAAGGAGCTCTTTTTTTACTTATGCATATAGACAGCCTTGACTAACTGTTGTTAGGTCTCATTCAGTCTCTTTTGCAGCTGTAAGTGTCAAATATGGGCTTAAAACATGGAATGCTGTTTCTTTCTTTTGCCTTCCTATCTTCTTCCCACAATGCTGTGGGTCTTCTTAGCCTTAGAGTTCCTGCTGTCTTCTTCATCTCACTAGTACCATCCATCCTTACTTTACCTTTAACTACAACTCTGCCCCCTCTCTCCCTTCTGGTGGTAGGTGTGCCGACATCCTCACCTTCCTTGTCCTCATTCTCGTCTTCCTCCTCCTCCTCATCTTTAGACAGAGTCTCACTATGTAGCCCCAGCTGGCCTGGAACTTGCTATGTAAACCAGACTGATCTTGAACTCACACAGCTCCATCTGGCTCTGCCTTCCAAGTGCTGGGATTAACAGGGTGTACCACAGTGCCTGGCTGCTCCATGACCATCTTCTTGTGAGACAGGAAGGGGAAACTCCATTTCTACATAGCCTTCCTTAGCCCATGTTTCTTTCTTCCTTGCTCTAGTGGCTGACATTTTTTCATTCTCTTTGCTGCAAGCTTTGTTTGGTGTGTTGTGTTGTAAATCTGTATCATTGAGTGTCTGCTTCATGGGTCTGTTCAAAGCATGCGAAACATGGTATTTGGGATGACAGACTATGGTAAAGCATGGTGGAAAGAGGTGGGAGAAAGTTCTCAGAAAGAAAAGTATACTCTCAAAACCCTTGATCCACTGACAAGAATCACTGTAATTTCCTCCAGAATCCTGACTGCACCGTAGAGATGGCTAGAGGTGGTCCTTTCCTTCTCTCTTCTCTCAGTTAAGCACATTCCAGCACTCCCCCTTATAACATACTTGGGGCTGTAAGTAAAACACATGCCAGGGATCACTAACCAGACATGTTCAAGGACCACCACCCACATTCCATGCCCAGGGGTTACCACCTAATAATGCTTTATGCTCAGGGATTATGAGCTGGTAGACTCCTGGATTGCTCTCTCTCTCCCAATTTCTGTTGTTATTACCTCCTTAACCTGAGGGGCTCAGTGGCTCTTCCTGGATGAAAGGTGGAAGTGCCACCAAGATTCTGCTGGAAACCCTGTTACTAGTAGCCCTTAAGAGTATGGACCCAGGCATTGCAGCCTCTCAAAGGTAGGAAGGATATGGACAAAAGGGGGTTCAGAGCCATTCAAGCATGGCATGGAGTGGGAGATGGCAGGTCCAGATCCTGAGGCTAGCTTTCAAGACTTGAAAAGATGGCCCAAGTCATGAGGGTCACCCTGCTGTGATTTTTCTCTTACCAGAGTCTCTCTCCCAGCTCCCACAACGTTCAATTCCCTCTTTATCCATGTTCAGGCCCACCCTCCTCTTGGCTCCTTTTTTGTTAAATAATTAACTAATTTTTATTTTATGTGTATGAGTGTTTCACTTGCATGTATCTAAGTGTCCCACTTGTGTGCAATGTCTACAGAGACCAGAGAGGGCATTGAATCCCTTGGAACTAGAGTTATGAACAGTTGTTGGCTCCATTGTGGGTGCTGGGAACTGAACCTGGGTCCTCTGCAAGAGCAGCCACTGCTCTTTTTTTTTCTTTTTGAGACAGAGTCTCCCTGTAGCAGCAGATGGTCTGGAACTTGCTGTGTAGACCAGGCTGGCCTCAATCTCACAGAGACCCACCTGCCTCTGCCTCCCCAGTGCTGGGACTAAATGGGTGCACCACCATTTAACTGTGAGCCATCTCTTCAGCACCTGAACTTTTTTGATGCCCTTATTTCTTTCTGTTCTTTAGATTTTTGCCCGCTGAAGCCCTTTCTGCCCCTGTTAAAGGCAGTCTGGTTCATTCTCCCTCCTTCCCTCCTTTCTTTTCCCCCTCTCTTCTCCGTACCAGGGACCAGCAGAATTTTTAAAAAAATAGGGCTTGTGTTTTCCCTAGGTGGGAACAGTGTTACTTAGGCCTTTTGAGGAGGCACCAGGTCCTCCCTGGAAGCTAGTGACTTTTCTTTCATGTGTCTTCTGGAAATCCTGGGGATTTTTGAGCGGGCTCATCAGGTGACCTACAGTCAAAGTTCCAATATTGCCAGGCTGATGAAGCAGGTCAGCACCAGGTATATGGCTATGTGTTTGTAGGGGACATCCTGAGAGTAGAGAAGACTATGAGCTGTGTTACCATGGCAAGGAAAATAGGTCCACATGCTAAAGGGTCTCACTTGTTTGTTTATACCTGTTTTTCCATGGCCTCTTTTATGTTGATCACTCATGTCCTGGTCTCTGATTCATTCTTAGCCTGGGGAGGAAAGGCCGAGTACACCTGGTGGATGGCAGACCCTTGGCATCATTGCCATCATGGATGGAGTAGAGTGCATCCACACCTTTGGCGCTGGTGGGACCCTAGTCCAGATGTTTTTCCTGATTCCAACTGACCCCAGTCAGTTGGTCCACTATCCAAACACTGTCCTGCAAACCCATGAGGTTCCTCAGTGTCCATGCTGTCCAGACTTAATAGGCATTCAGTCAAGTGCTTCTTCCATTTGAAGCACTGAATTCCAACTCAGTCTTTTCTCTAATCCCACCCCTGTGCTTAGCTACAGCCTCCCACATAGATTATCCTCACCCCACAGCCTCTTTCTTAATACCACTATAGTCCCTGAAGCCTAGAACCTTCCTTTTCTGTAAAGCCCATCATTCTTTTCTCTTCAATCTTAAATTTCCCAGATTTCCGAGACATCCGTGGTTTTCTCTTTGGAGAAGGAAGAGTAGGACCTGGAGGATGGGTGGGGGATATGAGGGGATAAATCATTCTGACAAGGGAATATGGTTAGAGATCATGAAACTTTGAGGCAATGGAGTATAGAAGGCTCTGGATTTACCCTCCAAAACTTGGTTTTAGTCCATTGACTTGCTATATCATCTTGGGCAAGATGTTATAATATGAACCCTGATTTTTTTCAATTGTAGTCAAAGAGCTGTACATTAGATGTCCCATAAGGTCCCTTTAGTCTTCAAGCCTGTGTTCTAGAGTGCCCTGTTGGGAGGGACTCTCCCATCTTTTTTTGTCCCAGGGTCCCCAGTTCTCCTTCTCCGAGGAGGACTTCCTGACTTCCATCCTGCCCTCCCTCATGGAAATTGACACTGTGGTCTTCATTTTCACCCTGGATGGTGAGAGGGAAGATTGGAATGGTGGGATAGGGACTTGGAAGCTGCAGAGTAGCTCAGAGGCGCTGTCATTTTCCTGGGTCTCAGGGCACCTTGTCAGAGGGAGGGATGGAGTGAGTGTCCTAGCTGGACCCTAGGATGGCAGAAAGAACAGCTTCATAGCCTACCTTTCAAATTTGATGTTCCCCACCCCATCCAGACAACCTCACAGAGGTACAGACACTGGCAGAGAAGGTGAAAGAGAAGACCACTAACATCCAGGCCCTAGTGCACAGAACTGTGGGGCAGTCGCCGCCGGTGAGGGTCCAGCCTTGAGGAAGAGATGCTGGTGGCAAGGTACGGGCAGACCTTCCAAGACATGCCATACCTACACATTTCTTTGTTTGCAGGCTCCTCTCAAGAAGCTCTTTCCCTTCATCATCAGCATCATGTGGCCCCTGCTTTTCTTTGAATATGAAGGGAACTACATCCAGGTAGGGAGAGGTGGAAGGTCGTATCTGCAGTGGAAGAATTCCAGAAACTAGAAAACCCAAGTGTGGATGGGGGAAAAAGCTTGAATATTTGTCTTCTCCCCTTCCCAAACTGAGCAGCTTCTTATCAGGTCTCTAGACAGAGTTGCCAAGGAAACAGGTGGTCTTTCAGCCATTATTCAAACTACCACCTTGCCTTCAGGAAGCTTCCTTACTTGACCAACATAGCTGGTCACTGAACCCACAACTCATGGAAATCCTGCCCCCCGGTGGGAAAGCCACTCTTCATCTTTGTCTTTTGTTCTGCGTGGTGCTTGTGTACTTTATCCCTACTTCTTGGCATGCTTCCCATCCGTAGTCTCCTTTGCTATCTCCTTCATTTGAAGACGTCTTCTCTGACTAACTTCCCATTGTCTTGGTCCTCCATGATATCTACTTCTCCACACTCACAGGCTCCCTTATACCATTTATACCTAGTACAAGTACAACCCTTTACTCCTTATAAAATACTCCTCTATATTCTCTCAGCTCTCATAACAGCCTCCTAAGGAATGTGTGCTCAATGTCACCATTTTACAGTTGGAACCAAGAGATTAGGGAGTGAAGTTTGGTGTGGTGTTATCTGACTGTAATCCCACTGTTCTGGAGGCAGAGGGGGAGGATCACCATAGATTTGAGGTCTAGTCTTGTGAGTTCTAGGCCAGCCAGGGCTAGGTAGCAAGACTCTGTCTTTAAAAAAAAGGGGGGGGGAGTGTGATGATGACCATATAACTAAAACATGAGTCAGGACTTGAATGTAGGTCTTGTGACTCTAAGTACATGATTTATTTTGTCATACAAAACAAATTTCAACCATATGTAAGAGTTAAGTCAGATTCTTTTGTTCATTTATTCACTCAAAAATATGTTTTGAGAGCCGGGCGTGGAGGCAGAGGCAGGTGGATCTCTGTGAGTTCAAGGCCAGCCTGGTCTACATAGTGAGTTCCAGGACAGCTGGGGCTACAGGGAGACCCTGTCTCAAAAAGATAAAAAAAAATCTGTTTTGAGCACTCATCACATGCCTGGTACTCTTTGGGGAATAGGGAATATAGTAGAGAATGGTGATCTGTGATCTTTGAATCCTCTTTCAGAGAAAAAAGTACTGTATAGTAATATCTTTTTATTGTGAAAATCTTACAAAAAATAAGACCAACTTGGTATACTGTCTTTACATTGCTTTTCTTCACTTAAAATTCTGAATGCCTCTCAGTACCAAACACCTGTGCCATGATTTTTAATGTCAACATAATATTCTACAGCATGAATGTATGTACCATAATATGCTTACTCTAACCAGTTGGTCAGATAGGGTCAGATGGAGTCGATTCAATACTATGATTTTTATCAGAATGCTTTGCTGAGTATCTATATGTAGTTCAAATATTTTATTAGGATAAATAATCAAAGCTAGAAGAGAATGTAAGTTTATAAAGATTTTTGATATAAGGTCAACTTGACCTTCAAAGAGTTATAAATGTGGGATTTCTTGTTTTCTCACACCCTCCTAAAAACCCAGCAGCATCTTTCTTTACAGTCTTTGCAAATTAGCAAAGCCACAAGTTAAAATAAAAACATTTCTGTGATATTTTAATTACTATGTCAGTGTACTACCTACGGTACATATCAGTTATTTAATTTTTTTCTTTAATGTATCACTTCATTATGTCTTTTTGTTATGTTCACCCACTCTCTTGGGGAGTAGTTACTTATCTTCTTTCTGACTTGTAAGAGATATGTAGAGCAAAGTAATCCTCTTTTCCTCTTTTATGCTTTCCCCAGTTTATTTTTATTTCTGTGTTTCTGATGCAGTGATGTTTTATTTAAAAAATTTTTAAAGACTAATACAGTCTTTTCCTTTTTTTTTTTTTTTTAATCTAACCCCTTTCCAATTAGCAAGCTTAGTGCTGTAGCTCCAGCTATCCTGGAACTCACTATGTAGACCAGGCTGGCCTTGAACTCACACAGATCTGCCTGCCTCTGCCTCCCAAGTGCTGGGACTAAAGGTGTGCGCTACCACGCCCGGCTTCCTCGGTCATTTTTATCTTTCACTTGCTGCTGGTTTTAGCTTTCAAAATGGTATTGTTTGAAAGAAGAAGGCTTTCATTAGGACTTCTAAGTCTTTAGAAAATTTTTTTCAAAATAATTTATTTCTTTTTAATTTTATGTGTATGAGTGTACTGCCTGCATGTGTGTAAGTGCACCTGTGTCATACAATGCTTGCAGAAGTCAGAAGAGGGCGTTAGATCCCCTTGGAACTGGAGTTACCGATGGTTGTCAGCCACCATGTGGGTGCTGGGAATTGAAACTGGGTCCTCTGTAAGAGCGGCTAATGCTGTTGATTGCTTAGCCATCTCTCCAGCCCCTGAAAAAATATTTTTGATACTGTAAATTTCTACACTTATAATTTGAAACATTTTCAAAAGAAAAGTTATAATAGCAATACAAAGAAGACCCATATGGTTAATCCTGTTCACCAATTCCCTTTGTTTGTTTGTTTGTTCATTTGTTTTTGTTTTGAGACAAGGTGTCCCTGTAGCTCTAGCTGACCTGGAACTCCACTGTGGAGATCAGGCTGGTCTTGATCTCATAGAGCTCCATCTGCCTCTGCCTCCTGAGTGCTGGAACTAAAGGCATGTGCCACCACACCTGGCTGTCATCAATTCTTTTTGCCATATTTTCATTTTCTCTTTCTTATCCCTGGATCATTTAATAGATAACTGAAGCTGTCATAATTCTTCACACCATGCCTCCAGTGGTGGCCTCTGTCTGTAATTCCAGCCCTTGGGGGTGGGGGCAAGAGAATCAAGAGTTTAATGCCATCTCCAGCTATGTAAGAAGTTCAAAGCCACCTTGGGCTACAGGAGACCCTGCTCAAAAAGCAAAGCAAAACAAAACAAGAATAAAAACTTTATACCAGTTGCTTTAGAATATGTCCCCTAAGGATAAAAGCATTTGCCTATGTAAGTATAATATAATTATCCACTCAGGAAAATGGCAGTTAATCCAAAACTATTATCTAATAGTCGTACCATATTAAAATGTCTCCAGTTATCCCTGGGGAAATTGTTTTTATTCTCCCGATCTAGAATCCAATAAAACATTATGTATCACATTTAGCTGCTAGGTCTCTCTAGTTTCCTTTAACATTCCTCAGTCTTTTTTTTACTTCTTTCTCATAACATTGCTATTTTTAGAAGTCTAGGCAGATTGTTTTCCAGGCTGTACCTCACTTTGAATTTGCCCTATTGTTTCTTCATTATATTCAGGTTAAATTTTTTTTCTTTTGTGACAAGTGTTATATAAGGATGTGACCAGCATGTCACACCAGGAAGCACCTGATAGCTATTTGTCTCTTTTTTGGCAAGTCCAAGTTTGATTATTTGGTATTGGTGACTACTGCCTTGTTTCTTTGCCTTATTGCCAGCTTTGCCTGGCTTTAGCATCTGCTGATGATTCTTGCCTGAATCAGTTACTCCTTTGGTGACTTGAAGCTGGTGGTTTTCTATTTCTAGCTATCTTCCTCTTATCTATATTCACTAATTGGCACTCTTCTGTAAAGAGCTTCCTCTTCACTTTCTACTCCATCTGTCTTTGTTTAATGTCATTATGGACTCAAGATTTTTTATTGCTATTAAATGTTTAGGTTTTTTTTTTTTTTTTTTTTGAGACAGGATCTCTGTGTAACCAAAGCTGGACCAGAACCAGGCTGGCCTTGAACTCATGACCCTTCCACCTCAGCTTCATGAGTGCTGCAATTACAGGCATCCACCAGCATGCCTGACTTAGATGTGTTATCTATTTATTTAAAGAGTCATTAATTTTTATTTCACGTGGATGAGTGCTTTCTGCGTGTATGTATGTGCATGCCTGGTGCTGTGGAGGCCAGAAGAGGGTGTTAGATCTCTTGCAACTGGAGTTATGGATGGTTGTGAGCTGCCACGTGGGTGCTGGGAATGGAACCTAGTCCTCTGCAAGAACAGCAGTTGCTCTTAACCACTGAGCCATTTCTCCTGCCCTTTTAATATATCCATGTTAATACTTCTATTCATTTTAATCCTGAAAGTGAGAACTTGTTCAAGTGGCTTCCTCTGACCTATTCACATCCACATTTGAACATACTTTACTGTGTTTCTCTTTGTAAAACAGAACAAAGAAAGAAAAAGATAAAACCTCAAACCTTTCTTGGGCAAAGGATAGCATACCTTTTACATCTCATGTGTTTTGCCTCACATTTTCTGAAAATTATTCCACTGCAGAGTACAAACCTCTTCCTCCTTGTGATTGGCAGTTGTGTGTATAAACGGACAACAGTTTCACAGCTGATCACCTATGCAGGACATTCAGGTGGTTTCCAGTGCCAATAATGATGTAATGAATGTGCATATATTTTTGCAATGTTAGAAGTGTTTCTTCGAAATAAATTCCTAGAAGCCTTAGAATTGGGTCAGAGGTCACATACAAATGTGATTTTGTTAGCTGTAGTAAGAATTCCCTCCATAGGCTCTGTACCATCCTGCTTCTCACACCAGCAGAATGGGATAACTGTGCCTCCATACAGCCTTTCAGAGAGTATTATCTAGCTGCTGGTTTTGTCTCCTTGATCAGTGAGAAATTATCTTTCTGTGTAATTTTTCATTTATTTTATTTATTTATCACAAAGGGTTTTTTTTGGTCTGTAACCCCAGCTGTCTTGGAACTCACTATGTAGACCAGGCTGGCCTTGAACTCACAGAGATTCACCTGCCTCTGCCTGCCAAGTGCTGGGATTAAAGGCATGTGCCACCACGCCCGGCTCTTATCACTAAAGTTTTTTGAAGCAGTAGGATAGAACCCAGGGCCTCACACAATGCTAAGAAATGCTCTACAACCAAGCCATATCCCCAGCCTGTATGTCTTTTATTATGTATGAAATTGAGTGTTTCCCCTTCCCTTCCCGTCCCTTCCCTCCCCTTCTCTCCCCTCCCCTTCTCTCCTCTCCTATCTCCTTCCTTTAGCTGTCTTGAACTCCCAGTGTGGACCTAGCTTGTCTCAAACTTGTAGTCATCCTCTTCCCTCTGCCTCCTAAATTCTGGGATTACAGATAGACACCACCGTGCCTGGCTTTTCCTCCTTTTTCTAACAGGCCTTTTGATCCCTTGACCTTGAGTTATTTTTTTAAATTTTATTTATTATTTTTATTTTTATGTGTATTAGTGTATTGCCTGCATGTGTGTAAGTGCGCCTGTGTCATGCAAAGCCCTCGGAGGTCAAAAGAGGGCGTCAGATCCCCTGGAACTGGAGTTAGGACTGTTGTTAGTCACCATGTGGGTGCTGGGAATTGAACCCAGGTCCTCTGCAACAGCAGTGAGTGCTCTTAACTGCTGAGTCAATTCTTTAGCCCAACCTTGAGTTCTTTATAAAGTTCTATTTCTGATAAATGCTGTAGATGTTTTCTCTTGGTTTTAATATGCAAAAGTTTGTCTTAATTTTTCTGAGTTGAATTCATCACTCTATTACTGGGTTTGGGTTTTGAGGCACAGAAAGCCTTCCCCATACCCGGGGTTGTTCTGGAATACCACCCATGTGTTTTTTTTTTTTAGGAATTCATTAGGGGTTTATTCTTGTGTATGGGATAAGCCGTTTTATATTTTTCCAAAAAAATTTCCAATTATCTTCATTTAATATTTTTTTGAGACAGGGAGGGTCTTTTCTGTAGCCCCAGGGGACCTGGAACTCACTATGTAGACCAGGTTGGCCTTGACCTCACAAAGATCCACCTGCCTCTGCCTCCCAAGTGCTGGGAATAAAGGCATGTGCCACTGCATACAGCTTAATTTTTTTTTATTAGCTTTTTGAGACAGGGTCTCCCTGTTGCCCCAGCTGTTGTAGAACTGGCTATGTAGACCAGCCTTGCCTTGATCTCACAGAGCTCTACCTGCCTCTGCCTCCCAAGTGCTGCTATTAAAGTTATGTGCCACCATGCTTGGTTTTCAATTTAATTTTTTTTTTTTTTGTTTGTCTTTTTGAGACAGGGTCTCCCTGTAGCCCCAGCTGTCCTGGAACTCACTATGTAAACCAGGCTGGCTTTGAACTCACAGAGATCCACCTGTCTCTGCCTCCCAAGTGCTGGGATTAAAGGCGTGGGCCACCATGACCGGCCCTCAATTTAATTTCTTAAAAAATATTTTATTTATTATTTTATGTGTATGCATGTATTGCCTGCATATATCTGAGTTGTACCTGTGTAGTCCAATGCCATGGAGGTTAGAAAAGGGAACTGGATTCCCCTGGAACTGGAGCTATGGACAGTTAGTAGTCACCATGTGGGTGCTGGGAATCAAACCTGGGTCTTCTGCAAGAGCAGTCAGTGCGCTTAACCACTGAGCAACCTCTCCAGCCCCCTGCTAAAGGAGGGAAAGCTCAGGCTCAGAGAGGGTAAGGATCTTCCCCAAAGCTTGGGTAGGCTGAAAATGCCTTTCTACCTGTACCAAAGGTATCTTTATATAATCCTTGGAACCCACAAACTTTCCATATTTTTAACTTCTTTCAAATGTGCTCATCTTCCCTTTTATTAAAGTTGGTGCAGACCCTATGCTGGAAGCTTTTAACAGGTAATAATGCTTATCCAAATTTAATGTAATTGTTTTTATGTCATAATTTTAATCAACAGTTACCTTGTACTT